TCCCCCTGAGCCTCCTTTTCTCCAGGCTGAGCCCCCCCAGCTCCCTCAGGAGCTCTCCAGCCCCTTCTCCTGCTGCTCCAGCCCCTCTGCTCCTGTGGCCACCCCTTGGCTGGTCCCACCCAGGTTCCTCTTTGCCCACCCGGGCTCACGTTCCTCCCCTGCCCTCGGGCACTGAGATGTCTCCTCAGGGAGGAGCTTCCCTGTTCTCCCAGGCAATAAAGCCCATCCCAAACCAGCCCCATGGATGTGCCCATTCCCGGTGGGATGTGCACCCACCTCCCTCTCAGTGTGGGGGCTCTTCTCGGGGCTCAGACACTCCTCCTTGGTGAGGTTCACCACCGTGCCCGTCAGGTTGGCCAGCACAAACTGCACCAGGTAGGTCGTGTTCACAGGGCTGGAAACTGCCACGTAGTGCTGGGGAACATCCCCTGGAACGGCAGGAAAAATGGGACTGGGGGGGTGGAAAACCAGCAGGAACCCACCAGGGAACACCCGGGGTCGAACCCTCTCCCTGCTCTCCTTCCCTGTGCTGTTCTCACCCAGAATTCCTTTGAGGTCTGGTTTGATGATGGATTGAAACCAGGAATTGTTCATTTTGATCAGGAAGCCGTAGAGCATCCGGGTGACCTGGGGTTGGTTCGTGCAGGGGAGAGGAAAGAACATCTGAGCAGCTCTGCCCCGAGCTCCTCCTGCCGAGGGATGTTCCCCGAGCACAGCCAAGGACAGACCCCGTCCCAGCTGCCCACAGTTCCAGACAGAGCTGGGAAAACCGGGTGGGATTCCAGCCCCAGGGATTCCTTGGCTGATCCCCGGGGCCCAGGTGGCAATTCCACCTTTTCCTTGGGGATGAGGGAGCTTCGTTTCTGCCCCAGGAAACGAGGGAGGGATTTTCACTCTGCTTGGGGGGAAACCAGGGAAAAGGGGAGGGGGGGATGCAGGACAGGATGCCAGGGGACAGAAGGGAGGGATGGGAGGGCTCCTGGGAGGTTCCAGGGACAGGGCCCCACGTGCTCCTACCGTTTTGGGGTCGGCCTGGATGGCAGAGGTGCTGTTGGTCCCTCCAGCCAGGCCATAAAGGGCTCGGGCCACCACGGTGGCCACTTCTGCCAGGGCCTGTGAGGGGACAGGGATCCGTGTCAATCCAGCCAGGCAGATCCAGGGAAAGGGGCTCTGGGAGGGAGCCAGGATCCATCCCAAATCCATCCCAAATCCACCCCAACGCTCCGGGGCCCCTCGCCCTTGGCACTGCCCAGAGCCCTCCCAGCTCCTTCCTGCCCTTTTTCCAGCTTTTCCCACCTCTCCCCAGTCCCTGCTTCTTCCTGCCCTTTCCCACATCCCTCCCCACCTTCTTCCAGCCCTTTTTCCAAACGTTTTCCCCCTCTCCCCACGTCCCTGCTCCCTCCTGCCCCTCCCCATCCAGCAGGAACCTTGGCCGTGTCCGTGACGTATTCCAGGGTCTCCTCAGGGCTCAGCCCCTCGGGATACTGCATCCCAATGTTCTCTGGAGTGTCATACATGCTCTGGTAGTATCTGAAAAGAGGGAGAAAGGCAGGGATTTGGGGAAAGGCAGGGAGAAAACCACAGGGCATGGAATTCAATTCCGAGCGTGTCCAAAGCGGAGCCTCCCGGGAGCGAAGCTCCAGCCCTGCCACTCACTCCTGAAAGCCCTTAATGAGGATTTCTAATTAACTTGGCCCTTCCACAGCTTCTCCCATCTGAGCACCTCCCAGCCATTTCCAGGCTGTGACTGGAATTTTAGGTGGGGCTGAGCCCGAGCTGTGAAACAGGGAGGGAAACTGAGGCAAGGCCAGCAGGGATCTGTTAATGCCTCATCCAAGGAATTCCAAGTGATTCCCTACTAGGGATTTACACACTGTGTCCCTGGCACTCCCTGGGATGATCCCCCAGCCTAAAAATGGATCCCCCAGCAGCAGGTTGTGTTTTCCTCCACCTGCTCCGTGCAGGGTTAGGGGGGAAAGGGAAGCTCCTTCCCGGGGATTTCTGCAGAGATTCCCAGAAAGAGCAGAGAAGGATAAAAGGTGGAGAGGGGGAGGTTGTGTGGAGACCTCAGAGCACCTTCCAGGGTCTGAGGGGGCTGCAGGGAAGCTGGAGAGGGGACGTTCATCAGGAACTGGGGTGGCAGGACAAGGGGGGTGGGATCACACTGAAATAGGGGAATTTAGGGTGGGTATCAGGAAGGAATTCTTCCCTGTGAGGGTGGGGAGACCCTGGTACAGGTTATTCCATGGATTCCCCATCCCTGGAAGTGTCCCAGGCCAGGCTGGACAGGGCTTGGAGCAACCTGGGATAGTGGAAGGCGACCCCAAAAAAAAAAGGGGGGTGGAACTGGATGATCTCGAAGGTCCCTCCCAACACAAACCATCCCAGGACTCCAGGGAGGGAACGGGATAATTTCAAGCATTTGGGAAGAGGGGAAAGACCCAATCCCTGTCCTGTACCCCCCATTCCCACCCCAGAGCTGAAGAGGAGCAGGGGATCCCTGAGGAACAGGGTCGTGTGGGGTGAATCCAAGTGCCCTTTCCAAGGCCTGGGGCTTTCTGCCAGCGCAAACAAAAAGCCAAATAATAAATAAAAAAAAATCCCCCAAAAATAACAAAAAAAAAAAAAAAAAAAAAGGCAGCTTCTGGAAGAACAGCTGAGGCTCCTGCAACGCTCTGTTGCCATTTGCTCACCTCTGGCTCCCAGCCAGCTGTGGGGGAACATTTTCCACATGAAACCGGATTTCTCTCGCCTGTCAGAACGATTCCGCCGCGCTCGTCGGACACGGAGCTTCTCCCGCTCACACCCCCCCTCCAGCGTCCCAGGGGTCCTCTGGGAGCCCCTACCTGTTCTGGAAGGCTGTCCTGTGGTCAGTCAGGACCACCCCGGGGATGTGGCGAGCCCGGAGGAAGCGCTGGAAGGAGGATGGAGGGAGGGGCTGGGAAAATCCGGCTTCCTGCAGGGTCACGGCCGAGCCCGCGCTGCTCCTGCTCAGGGTGGCCAGCAGGTTCCTGACCTGCAAGGAGGAGAACCTGCCCTGTGCTGCTGTTCTTTGGGATGGGCTTTCTCTGGGAAGGTTAAAACCCTGCTTGAGATCCCAGAGTTTTCATTATGGAGTCGTGCCAGGGGTCGGATACGAGGGAAGGTTCTTCCCGCAGAGGGTGGTCGGGAGCTGGGACAGGTTCCACAGGGAAGCCAGAGCTCAGGGAGCACCTGGAGCTCTCAGGGACACAGTGGGATTGCTGGGGCTGTGCAGGGCCAGGAATTGGACTCTGTGACCCTCGTGGGCCCCTTCCAGCTCAGGACATTCCATGGTTTCTCCCTCACCTGCGCATCCACGGACTGGTTCATCCGTGACACGGGGTCCGTGTGCATCCAGAGGATGGAGCCATTCCTGAGAGCCACCTGCAAGGAAAACCACCTTAAACCACGAGGCTGGACATCCCAGAGCAGGGAAATCCAGGGGGGATTCACACCCAGGCAGTGAAAGGCCCCCAAACTTCTGCCACACCTGACTGAGCTCCACGAAGGAGTGGATGTTGTCCAAGCGCAGAGGGAACTTGTCCTGCTCCATGTCATAGACCATCCTGGAGCTGCCAATGTAGTCAAAGGTCTCCTGCAGGAGGAAAAGAAAAATCCCAAATCCTGAAAAATCCTGAAAAATCCCAAATCCTGGATCCCATCTGAGGGTGGAGGCACCTCCACCAGCAACATCTGAGGGGCTGAGGTGGAACCGAGTTTGGGGGCCAGCTGGTAATTCCAGAGGTTTGGGCAGCCTGGGACACACCAAAGGCACCAAAACCAGAGGGATTTGTAGGAAGGGGATGGAGCAAAAGGGCAAAAAGGAGGGGAAAGAGAAAAAAACAGGAGAAGGATGTTGAATTCCACAAGAAAGGCACAGAGGAAAAACCACCTCAGTGAGGACTTTCTGCCCTCTTAATCCTGCTAGGAATGAAACATGGGGTCATGGAATGGTTTGGGATGGAAGGACCTTAAGGGTCACCTCATCCCCAGGGGCAGGGACACCTCCCACTGGCCCAGGTTGCTCCAACCTGGCCTGGGACACTTCCAGGGATG